ACTACAAAAACCAGTTACTGGCACTAAATAAAAATATAGAAACGTCAACTGTTTAAATCAAGGCCACCTCACATGCTGTTACACATAATTGTATAAGTACTTTAAGTGTATAAAGCATTAAAGCTACTTTCTGTAAAAAAATAAATAAATCACACTGTATGTCCAAGGGTATAGAATGCTAAGAATAAGGTCACACCAAAATAGAAAAAAGGCTATTACATACAGTTGAAATACATACAAATTCAAATGTTCATCAAATTAAATGAATAGCATTTTTAAAACTGAAAAATAAAAAAATTATGTAGCTCACATTTCAGAACAGCCAATGGTGAATGACACAATGTCCAGTAATGTAACTAGATCAAAAAACCCATTATTCATTACTTACACTGGCAATATCACAGCTTGACTTATTATTTACTAGATTTTTTAAATGTGGGTTGTAAAACTGGTTCTTACATTAGAATTTACAGTTTGTGGAAAATATTCTCCAGAGAATTTTCTAGCAGAGAATATTCTCATTCTGGAGAATATTCTCACCTCACATCCCTAGGCACGGGTTGAAAGTGCTGCACTGGTAAGTTCAAAATGTCCTAGATCCAACTTACCAGATCTGTCCTTACTGCAGTTTTAAATAACCAGTGCTGCTGTATGCATTCAGTTAGAACTGGAGGAGCCTATTCAGTGGGACTCCCCAGTAATGTAGGGCATAATCTTGGACACCGCAGAACTTGCACTTGTAAGTTCTTTCGCAAGTCCTAATTTCCACATGTTTCTAAAAATTTTAAGGAGCAGGCAGTGAATGCCATTTCAGAATGCATTCTAAAAGCCTCAGCTTGGGTCAGGGGTTTAGTGGCCAATAAGGATAAAAGATTGGTGATGGCAGTGAGTATCAAACAGGTGAAATGTTCCAGGAGCTATCGTGGGTGCTTTAAAGATAGATCCTTGAGTTTCTGCTTTTGATCTGATGACAGAGGACTGTCTTGTCCCTGCCAACACAAAGCACCCACTCTCTCACAGGTGAGATCACAAAGTCTTAATCCCACAGGAGTGAAAGAGCCTATAGGGAATACAATTGGGGGTTATCCTTTGCTTCCTTGGGTTCCAGTGGTTGCTCTCACCCTCGAAATCATAGCACACCTTGGAAGATGCAGCCTTTCCAGTCATTACTAGTTTATGTTCCTATTCTTAGTAACCTTACTGTGATGGCAGGATCTGATAGTCAGGGCAACAACATGGGCAAATGTACAGACTGTTGTCCTGCTCTTTAAGCACAAAAAACAAAACAAAACAAATCCTCTATATTGGTTGTGTAAATGGGTTTTTTTCTTAACTCTCTGTGCAGCTAACATTAGTTTTAACCAATCTGTCTCCTGAGTTTAGATTATTTGGGACTAAGGTTTTTTTCCGTTTAAAAATAGAAAAATTGTATCTGTGATGAATCAGTGGTAGCAGTGGCATTTTGAAAAATGTTTTACTTCTCCAAACAAGTAAATTACTTATTCTCTATTTGTATAATTTATGTAGCTCTCAAAGGCATTAGATGTGGCTTAGCATAAATGAATGCTCATCTCCTGGGATGGAAGGTGTGATTTAAGTGCAAAGTGTTCTGGGGCCCTCCTGGCTGTTGAAGTCGGAAAGGAAAAAAATGTAATGGAGTTTGGCTTTTGATTGGTGTTTTTTGACCTAATTGTAAATAGGGGAACATAGACTGAGTCACTGAAGAGAGGAATTGACATTTGAGAATATTTTTCTATTCCGATACGATGCAGGCCTAAGTTAAACATCTTTCAAAAGGCAAATTACAATATGGAAAAGATTCCTCTAGTAAAACTCTTCAGTGTATTATGGGGATTTGATTGAAATGCATTGGGAAGATTTGCTTGTTTTCTACTGATGTAACATTTTATTATTATGGCCTGGTGAAGAGGGTTTGCAAGCTGTGCTGAATTTTTGATTCTTGGCCTCTTGCTGTTGGAAAACAATCCCGGACAAGCTTTAACTTATAAATATTTTCCATATAATTGCATGAATTCAAGTTTTTATTCTGTCAACTTGGGGCAAAGGCTTGCAAAGAAAAGGGAAGAAAGCCAACTATTTTTTGGTGGTGTCAGAAAACACCAAGAAGCTACTTTGCTTTTGCCTTTGTTTTTATCAAATGTGTATCTGATGCTTCCTCCAAGGAGGTCATGGTGATGAATAAAGGTTTGTTGCTTTAAATTTACTTAGTGTTCAAAGCTAAGGGGTTGTGTCTAGTACTGTGCTGGTGGGATTCTGCTGGTACAGTAGGACTTCCCTCTCCTTCTCCACTGCAAGCTCTCAGAGTCTACTCCAAAGTGTGCCCAATCCTCTGGAGCTGATTTTGAGGCTGGGCGGCTGAACACTGGAGGAGACAGAAGAGGAAGGCCTATTGAACACACAGGAATAATTAGCACCAGCTGAGCTGCAGCGCTTGATAAAGCCTCAGAGCTCTATTCCATGTTCCTTGAGGTGTTTCCGATTATATGAATTAAATGTTTTGCTGTGCCTTTTATCCTTTTGATAGCCATAGTTTTTCAGGTCTCCATCCTATGCGCACTTAGAAGTTTATTAAAATCAACTAGACTGCCTGCCAAGTAACATATTGGGAGCAGGACTGTCAGTTACATCAGCCTAGAATGGCTTTTTTTTTTGGTACAAGCTTTCTTGTATCATTTCTGATTCTATTTTGTTCTGTTTCTACACTTGTCAGTTTTTTTGGCAACGTTCATTCCACCCCTTTTCTCTCCCCCACCCCTTTCTTTTCAGTCTTCTGCCTCACTATTCCTTAGAAGACAAAAGAGATAGGAAAGAGGAAAAACAAGGGGGTAGAATAAGTGAGATCCCATTACCAGGAAAAGCAGTATAATAGTTCTGATGAATCTTGCTTTCCTGATAATACATCCCCATCCCTCTTCCTCTTTCTTGACTGTTAGCATGCTTCATGCTCTTAAGCCACACTGAACGCCGTGGTCCTGCGGCTTTGGAGTATAATAATGCTCTCACTGAACTAATTGGCAAACCCCCATTGGCTTTAATGGGAGTGAGCTCCTAGCTTTTAAACTGTTCATACTGAGGTTGGGAGCTTTTCAGTAAAGTGTGTTCTGTGGCCAGGTATTTTGGTATCATGCTAAAGTTGAGTTCTGCATAATTTTAACCACACTCAGATATAAAATGCGCTAAGCCCATCCCAAATGTATTTCATCAAGTGAAATATTGCATGGAAGATCAAAGGGAGCGAGTACAGCACATTTAGTGATACCTGGTGGAAGAAGGTAAATAATTTGTTTAGCTTAATGCAAAGAAGCAAGTTCAGAACATAGTGAAATTCTATACAAAACAACTGAATAAACTAGAAATATATTCTTGTTACTGCAGTGGAAGTCCGTGTGTAGGCCACAGATCAGAATTACAGTGAGACAATATAAATAGCACTAAGCAGGCATTGCAGTTCAGTGAAGAGAAAATGTGGTGGTGGGGGGAGTGGGGATCAACAAGGATAAGGTGGGGATCAACACTGTACTCTGACCTTCTCCTCTCTTGTTTGACAGCGCATCACATCACAATACTGTTGATGAAGTTGAATAGGTCTGGGTTTGGTCTGAAGAGTACAAAGATTTATAAGCTTTGAACTTGTTAATGACTGTGATAGTGTAATCTCTCCTATAAAGATAGAACCAGCCCTGTATTTAGGGCCCTCCAGCATTTGACAAGTGAAAACAGGTGGGTATTCTTGTTGAGTTAATTAAGCACGTGCTCCTAGTGTGGTGGTTAATGAGTGAGCTGCTTCCAAAAGTAATCTGGTGGAATGCCTCACCCTTAAGAAGTTTGGAAACTGTTAACTTCAAGGCATTCATTTTCATACAACATGTCTTAATGCAGGAGTCAGCAAACTTTTTCAGCCGGGGGCCGGTCCACTGTCCCTCAGACCTTGTGGGGGGCCGGACTGTATATTTTTTGGGGGGGGCGGGAATGAACAAATTCCTATGCCCCACAAATAACCCAGAGATGCATTTTAAATAAAAGCACACATTCTACTCATGTAAAAACACCATGCAGGTCCCACAAATAACCCAAAGATGCATTTTAAATAAAAGGACACATTCTACTCATGTAAAAACATGCTGATTCCCGGACCGTCCGTGGGCTGGATTGAGAAGGTGATTGGGCTGGATCCAGCCCCGGCCTTAGTTTGCTTACACATGTCTTAATGCTTAAATATTGAGCTTTAGCATAGGATAATGGCAAAATCCCACGAGATGCTCCAGAGGGAGAAAGAAAGCTAGGCCTGTGTTTCAAAACTTCATAAACCCCAGCACAAAAATTACCTTCCTGATTTCTGATAGAACTGAAGATGGAACTTCTCTGGATATGTGCTGGGATTTGGAGAAGATAAGATATGCCGAAGTATCACACTTTCCATGCCTTCAGCATTTGAGACAGTACCTCATATTTTTCCCAAGTTCTCAGTGTGTGGCTTGCAGTGGTTGCTTATGCCCATTGGGACTGATAGGGTGGAAGGTAGGGAGGTCAACATGAGGTGGCGCCAGAGCAGTCAGTTAGAGTGAGTATGAACAAAAATTACCTTCCTTTAAATTGCACTGGAAATCTTCCTTTGTCTGAGAGCCAGACTCTGCTTCTCGCATCTCTCTCTTCATCTGGTTTCTCTGGGATCCCATACCTTGGAACAGTGCTGTTTTCTAGAAAAAGAGGTGCTGGAACTTACCATGAACACCTCCCTTGTTCTCTTTTAATGGCAATGGTGCCCACCTGAGAGGTGCCTGCCACCTCCTCTTCCTGCTGAGAAGTCTCACAATTGTCTCTCAAACTACCCACAGATGGAAGTGCCACATTAGATGCAACCTTCCTTTGATTTTTTTAAAGCATTAAACAATGATGCATTAAAAATAGAAGTTCTTAATTGTGAAATCACCTTGTCTTCCAGAATCTGTCTGTGGGTAGGGAAAGGCCATAGGGGAACAGCTGTAGCTCAGTGCTAGAGCATTTGCTTTGCATGCAGAAAGTCGCTGGTTCAATCCCTGGCATCTCCAGGTGCAGCCGGAAAAGAGCCTTCCCTGAAATTCTGGAGAGCCATCTAGCCCAATGGTCTGACTCTGTATAAATCAGTTTCCTGTGTTCCTAAAGGAACAAGTACAGATATCTGTTTTTAATTCGTATAGATGTGACTATAATATTACTTTCTTATTGAATTGCACATATGATGTTGACCATCTTTGGCATATTGGGTTAGCTGTAGAGCAGGAAGCTTTGCCTGTCTGTCTTGCCACAAACTCTTGGCATGCACTTTTGTTATTCATAGTTAACGTATTCTGGCTAAGAAAATGTAAACCAAGCTGTTGGATAAGTACAAAAGAAGGTATATAGGGATAAATTAAAATAGGAAGTGTGTACCTTTTCTGTTGTTGCTAGGATCTTGAAAATGTTGACCCATTTTCCTGGTTGCTTGTAGCAAGTCAGAATCTTATCCTGACAACCACATAGGGAAGTTTTTATAAATAGGAAAAGAGTGGGTTCCATTTCCTTTAAGGTGATCAATGAGCCACAAACATCTAATAAAGTTATATGTTAGCAGGCAGACTTAGAGGATTTTTTTCTGGGTAAGTGTCATTTATGGATTAGTTGCAAGGTGGGGTTATCTTTTCTTGCCAGAATGATCAGATAAAGAATAGTGTTGTTGCTATACACTGCATTAGAGAAAGCTAATTGACCAGCAGATCTACCAGCAGTGATAATGTCAGAAGATACCTTGTTAGACCCAACGGGTTGTATTCAGTGCCGTCCTTTCCCTTGCAAAAAGCTCTTTGATCCAGAAGGAAAGTGGAAAGGTGATTTTTGTGAATTCTCCTGCATCACTCTTCACCTTCCACACTGTTCCAGCTTTGGATACAATACTGTACTGGATATAATCTGAAGACAATGCACCTGCAGTTATAGCTGTAATAAAGTAGAATACTAACCGTAATTTCTGGTGCTTTGATGCCATACATTCCATGTTGGATCCCTGTTTTTTTTGGGGGGGGGGAGGGTGGTGGTTCAGAATTGCTTGTTTTGCAGGCAATTTTCTGCACAGAGTTTGCCTTCTGACTGTGACTTCATTGCGTGGGACTGGTGGGTGGATTGTCTGAGATTCCATGATCTTGGCAGGCTGAGAAGGAAGTCTGAAATAAGGTTTTATGATGATGGGCTGACAGCTCAGACTGTTCTAACCACTTCCATTTTCTGCTCCAGCTGCATGGTTTCCCAACAAATTGTGCTGTTGGCAACTGTGCCCACTCTTGCTCAAACAGAGCCCAGAAAGATTCTCGGCAGATGGAAATACCAGCACTGAGCAGGAGCAGCAGCTAGGCATGCCTCTCTATGTTGGAAACTCTGTTGTGCTGTCTGATTTTGCAATGTAGAAGCATTGTATTTACAGTGGGGAAGACTGTGTGCAGCCTCCAATAGGGCTCAGGCTTTGAAGTGTCAATGAAATGATAGCAGCCTGGAGCTCTCCTGGGACACAGCTGGGTGCTCTGCAGCTGGTTTTACAACACTGTTCTGCATTATGCACTCTGTAGCTAATCTTATGCCACGCAGCGTAGCATATTGGTGGCTGGGCGTGCTCCCTGGGACACCGGATATGCTCTGGCAGCTCATGGAGACTTGCTCATTTTTAAAATGTCAAAATCTTTGTGTCTCTCTGTCTCTTTCCGCCTCACCTGTCCTTGGGAAAAATGTGTATAGGCCAATATATGCAGAACACTTGGAACATATAATGGTCATAGTGATGATACTCAACAATAGACATGTGTGCTGAATTGAGAAAAATAATTTTATCCAAGTATTTAACCATTTTACACAAGCTCCCAGTATTTTGACTTCCTGATAATGAGTTTCCTTTTAACATGGTGTCTGTTGGACTTTGTGACCTAGTTTGCATTATCTTAGTGCTATGCAGATGATTTGTCTTAGCCGAGTTGGCAAAGACCGTACATAAGCGGACTTTTACAAAAAAAATCTTTTGAATGCCATTCTCTTCATCAGCACTGCTATCTTGTTTGAATCTTTTTTGAAATACAGTGGTACCTCGGGTTAAGTACTTAATTCGTTCCGGAGGTCCGTTCTTAACCTGAAACTGTTCTTAACCTGAAGCACCACTTTAGTTAGTGGGGCCTCCTGCTGCCGCTGCGCCGCCGGAGCCCGATTCCTGTTCTTATCCTGAAGCAAAGTTCTTAACTTGAAGCACTATTTCTGGGTTAGCGGAGTCTGTAACCTGAAGCGTATGTAACCCGAGGTACCACTGTATTTAGTTTTAATAAAGCAGTCTTTCCTGAAAACACTGAGAGGAAGGAAGGCTTGAACCCACCTGAGAACACCATGATGCCAGGTGACAATTTCACAGGAAATAATTGGATATGCCCATTTAGAGAGCACTTCTTGATTCCCCCCTCCCTTTCTTCCTTTGCATCCCGTCTTTAATTCAATCTGGAGATGCAAATGAAGAATGTGAGCCCTGCTTGTGGCAGAAATTGACTCCATTTGGAATCTACGATTGGGAGCTTCTGAGTTGAGCCAATCCCAGGGGGCTTGCATAGGGAGCCAAATAAAAGTAAAAGGGGGCCTACATAGGAACATTTAGGAGTGTGCCCAAGCCCTGCCAATTGTTCCTTTGCAGCAGCAGGTCTGTAGGGCAGGTGGGCATGGCTGATGAAAAGCGACCTCATAGTTCAAATTAGGACCCCTGGCAGGCCTAAGTTTGGCCTAGGGGCCAGAGGTTCCTTGTGCCTGGCCTAAATTAAGCAACAAATATTGTCACCCTTCCTGAACTATTTCCTCCTGTTTGCTTTTCTATCTACTGTCGGGAAGGACTGCAAACAAATTAAAATGAATGCAGTTCCTAACACAGTTAGAAAATGACAAAGGTTGGTAATTGTAAGAACTGGGTTCTTCTGCTTTTAAAAAGCACATTGCAGTGTTTACGTCATTACTCAGTTTGAGACATGCCATTCTCCCCTCTTAATATGCATGTCTTATCATTACTTGTTTTAAATAAAATAATGATATGCATACCATCATCTAATCTTCTTACTACTTTGATAGTGGAATATCAAATCCTACAAAAATGATACAGTTTAGTTGCATTCAGCCATTGCTAGGAAGAATAATAGCCTCAATACATCTGTTTCATTTATTATTATTTTATTTTTGGGCCTGCTCAGTGAGCAGCTCCTCCAAACTTCCCCCCATACCATTTATTTACTCTAATTTTTAATGTTTTTTTTAAATAAGAAACATAAGTATTACTCAAAAGCCTTGTCTACTGCAGCCCCTGCCACAGACAGTAGATAACCTTGGGTAGTTCCCATGTTGGATATGGTAATGCCCTACCACTTGTCCCAACAAGTGCACACAGTTGGAACTTTGATGGTATACGTACATAAATGCATGGACAGACAGAACAATCATGGATTCTGCTGGTAGCAATTTTGACAGCACTTTTTCTAGTTGGTACAATGATGAATCTAGACCAAGAACAAACAATAAAAATATATGGAGATGCACATAACAAAAATAAAATTGTCCAGATAATTTGGGGCATAATATCTTGACAAGGGGAAAAGATATGAAAGATTGGTACAAGATTCTGGTTTCTGAGCAACTGTTTTTTAATGTAATATGACCCTTTTCGTAAGATCAACTGCATCTGTAGAGTACTGTACCTAACTTTTCAATTTTCCATGAGGGTGGGGGGAGAAAAAAATGAAGAAAAGCTGCAAGTCACTTGCTACAGTTGGTGGCTACTGTTGTATTAATTGTATTAATCTGTATGAAGATGGAACAATTGCTGTATATGGAATGATCACAGGGACCTTAAACTGAGCCAGCAGTTTTCCTCCCACACGTTCATTATGACCTATAGACCAAGGAGTGGAATGAAAGTGTAGCTCTTGCTTGCCATAGTGAACTATTTATTTTTATTTATTTATTTCATGACATTTATTTCCCTCCTTTCTTCCAAGGAATTCAAAGCAGCAGCCATAGTTTTTCTCCTTCCGTTATTAAACTCCCAGCCACCCTTTGATGATGTATGTGAGGCTGAGAGAGAGAGTGACTGGTCCAAGGCTACTCAGTAAACCTCATACACTCTAACCACACTGGTTCCCACTGAAGTTGGCTTAGACAGCTTGTGTGAAAGAGGGGTGAGCAAAGGCTACCCTGAGTCCTGCCAGGGAAAAAAGACAGGGTATAAATAAATTGATGATGATGATGATGATAGAGACGCCTTTGGGGCCAAAATAACCATTCTTCTCAGTTCCATGTTTCTTTTCCTTTTCTAGGCTTGTCAACCTGGTCCCAGCATTCTAGGTCTCAGCATCGGAGAAGTTCATGCTCTAAGCACGAAGATCGGAAACCATCAGAGGTATTCTCTTGATTAAATGCTCTTGCATCTTGCTGAAAGACAGATGTTTCTCCTTTTCCTAATACTTCTTTTTCTTTCCTTTTTCTGCTCCGTCTCAGCTGGCACCCAGCAACCTTTCTTCTGGCCAGGAGATCAGGGAGCTCAGCTGCTGCCACAGTCCCTGCCAGCATCAAGTTAGTTATTTAGCCGTGAATATTGGGTTAGTTTGGCACCAACCCAACCTAGTTTTTTTTTTAATAGTCCTTTTCCTTTTCCTTTTCAAAAAATATATCGGGGAATATGTTTTGGTTTTTTTATTTGTGGTGAACAGTGAAAAATGTGTGCCTAGGAGTGTTTCCTTAGTTTCCTAACCATTACATGGCACTTATGAATAATAGTCCTTGTTCAGCAAAGCTGTCAAACCAGAAAACTTTGTCTCTTTGAGTGCTTCATCTGCATTGCTTTGAGAACAGATCAAAGGAGGAAATACAAATCAGTTTGAACTTTTCATGATGGATCACCAAGTGCAATCTGTTGCACGCCTTACAAATTGGCAGGTGTCCTTTGAGCCAAATATGAGACTAGAAGAAAAGGGATATTCTTTGTAGGTTGAACTTCTTAAGAAGGCTGTCTGGTTCATCATAATCAGAT